GTATCCCTCATAAATAGCACTATTAATTGTATTCGTTTAATTTTTTCTTTTTTTTTATCTGTGTTGCAACATTACTCTCATTCTCTATATATAACAGACAATCAACGCTATTAGACAATAGGATTTTTGCATCGACAATGAGTACTAACATGATGATAGTAATCGTAATATGATGATAATAGTTTCAATGATATAATATCGACAATAATTTAGTCTTTAATATATATATGTGTGTGTGTGTGTGTGTGTGTATGTGTATGTGGATGTGTGCGAGTGTGTATGTGTGTAGGTATATGTGTATACGTGTGCTTGTAATATATAATATATATAGATTTTTCCGATTAATAATACAAGTATTATAATATTTATCTATATAGTCAATATCGTTCGTATGCGTATGTACATATACATATAATACGTTTTACAATAATTTATGATAATCGATATAGCGTAAATCTCTACATTTTCTTATTATTTTCATCTTATTTTTAACTTTCTCTCTTTGTCTCTCTTTCTCACATCTTCACTCTCATTCTCACTCTCTCTCACTCTCTCTCTCTCTCTCTCTTTCTCTCTCTCTCTCTCTTTCTCTCTCGCCCGCGCCAGACTCACATGGCGTCATTTTCAATCCCGTCGCACACTTTGAAAGCGTTTTAGTGATATCACAGTGATTTCATTGCTCCAATATTATCGATAGAATAAAAGTCCGCCGGTGACGCAACATCCGTGGCGCGAGAATTCGTCGTAATGCATCCGCATAGTGATCGCGATCGTTCGTTTTCGGATCCGAGTCGTCCGGTGCATAAATCTGGCGAGGCGATGATGGGAACATAAATCTCGGTCGACACAAACGATCTCTTCGTAACGAGCACGAGCAGCATTTAAAAAGGTACAGTAAAATACGACCCAAAATTATTCGCAATGCGCAAGCATGGCAGATTTATGTTAATCCCATATGCCAAGTTGACGTAATATCCGTTTCTTCCTAATTAAATAGCAATTGCATAGTAAGATATTTTTCTATCTATTTCACGCCTGACATTGTATGATATTGGTTGCAATTTATTAATAATAATAGTTGGAGCTTTAATTGTGAAACATAGATAGATATTTTTCTATGCTCTGTAATCATAAAATATGTGATTATTGCCGCTATATATTTTTACAATAATTTAACTCTTAATTATTTTTATGACGGAAATAAAACATCATTACGTCAAAGCAAACATGTGATGTGTTTTTTAAAAGAATAATTTATAGTAAATCGATATAGGCCTCTCTCTCGTACAATTTATTTATCCAGCTAATTATTGTGTAATTTAATATGCTAGAAAATAATTGAGATACTAGGCTTAGCCCACGAACAATGCGATCATCCTTCTTCCAAATGACATCTCTCGTTATTCCACAGCGTATCGACTATCGTATAACTGCACGAGTTTCCTCCGAATAATCTGGAGCAAATCGTTTCTCACCCGTACTTGATTCGCATAACTATAAAAATTCTTTCATGAGGTCGATGCGGTTCGCCTCTCTCCTAAAACTCGGAGATTCGTGCCAAATAGAGAGGGACCGCAGTGATCGTGCGATGATTCCGCACGCGCGATCGTGAGATAAGAAGAAAAAAGTCGTTTTATCGCGGACGTAATAAATTCGACGGGGATTATGATGGCGCTCTAAATCGAGCTAAGTTTTATTTCGGCGATATAATCCGCAGAGGATAGTCGGGCAAATGAAGTCTACGGTCCGAGATTTGTGTTCCCGGGAAAAAACGCAAATCGCCACTCATCCACTCGTCGCGTTTTCGCGAGCGTTCCTTTCGTTCTTGTAATATTTTTCTACGACGAGAGTAAACTTTCTCGTTTCGCCGAATTACTCGCAACCGAAACTGGATGGCTCGAAAAGTCGGCGAACTAACGCGCGGACTAATATTAATTTTTTCCTTCATCCTCTTGAGGAGATCTCGAGAAAACTCTCTGTCCCCTTTAAGAATTTAAGCACCATAGCGACGACGATCTCGCGCGATGTCAAGCTCACCGCCGTCGGCGAATTGGAAATAACAGATAGAGTCAATCGTTGGATCCCTACTTTGATTAGTAATATCTAATTAATAATTAATATATTTTAGTAATAACAGTAATATATAATATACATGTGTGTACAATGTATGTCGATTTCAAGTGGGTTCGCTTTATATCGCATAGCGCTTCACGAGTGGCATATTGTGCACCATATTCGACTGAACGAGTATAACCGTAATGATCATAGTAATTTTTATAAATCGTTACGATATATCATTACGATTCTTACACGGGGATTACGATTCTCGATAGCTTAACTTCGAGAGGAATCGTCACTGTACATTATACTGCTTAGAGAACATTATTAAAGTAGATAGTTGGGTACTGACACACAGAGATTTTCCGAAAGACTTGTTTGCAAAAATTTTTCACCACGCCTAAAGCGACTGGTGTTACACGTATTAATTGATGACAATTGGTAAACGGTCATAATCTTACTTGCTACTTATATTAATTTCAATCTTAATGCTTTTACGGTATTTCTTTGCACGGCCATTCACATTTTATTCACTAATATCTTGTACGCTTATGATTTTATTCATCAATAATTTATTCGAGTCCACATTCGTATCTCGCTCCCGACATTTGCTCCATTTGATCATCTGTGAAATTAATCACATACTTGTTGAATAAATATTTTCGTTCCCTTGAAATTTGCGAGGACTAGAATATTTTACATGATATATTTTTAGTTTTTATTCCCAATTAATTCTTGGAATTATGAATTCATATCAACAAATTTTGTCTTTAAACATCTCTTTTATTTTTTAGAAGGGATTATAAATAAAATACAATATATATATAATATAATAAACATTTTAGAATTGTAAATAAAATACAATTTTTTTTGTTAATTAAAAGGATCAAAAAAATGTTAAATAAAAGATATAGATTGAAATGTGTGTGTGTGTACATGTATCGCATACAAAAGTTACTTCACAATGAGAAAATTTTTACCTAGTGTGCAATGAATGTATTAATTCCTGTATGAAATTGCCTTATCTTCATATGCGAGGTATTAATGCAAAAGACCTCTTTGTTTCATAGTAATAAAAATGAGATTAAAACATGAAAATGAAAAATTTTTAAAGACGAGAAGACAAGGAATAATATCGATATTAACAAGAAATTGATTAAAAAAGGAATTCTTTTTGTTTCTTTTCATAGCAAGTATACGTATCGCACTGCCATTAATATAGCTCGGAAAAATCACATTTGCGGTTTTTTGATGAAAGAGTATCGATCAGCGTGCGATCAACGGAGTTGCGGTCGTGTTTAAATATTCTCATCGAGTACGTGTGACTTAACAAGATCTCGCCCTGCATATTTTTGTATGGTGGTTCGACGCAAATAACCACGGCGAGTCCAACGACCGTTCGCGTTCGTGCAATCGATTGCCATAGTGTGGAAACACGCGTCTCTCTTCTCTCACCTTCTTCCCTCCGTGAAAAAGGCGAGGCGCGCGCCCTTATTGATCCCGCCTATGCTAATAATCCGTTGAACGAATGCCACAGTCTTATCAACGAATTCCATATTGATTCCTTCGCTTTTCAACCATCCGCGCGCGATCACTCTTGCTAGTCTCACGAATTACCTCTTTTCCACCCCTACTCTTTTTCAACCACTTCAAGTACCATTTCATCGGGATCAGGAAGAAAAAGAGAGGAGATTGAAATAATAAAAAGATAAGAACAAAACGCGAAAAATAAAGAGAGAGAGATAGAATATTAGCAGAATAGAGCAGAATTTATAGACTAGAATCTCAGGAATTATAGCACATACATTTTCTATGCAATAAAAATTGCGCAACATTATCATGCATATGATAAATTAATTACGTCAGTCATAATATAAGATGTTAAAAGATAAAACATGGATTTGAAAACAGATTTTAAAATAGAATTTTCAAATAGCACGAGCAAGATTATTGGAAAAGTTAACGTTAATGATGGCTGAAAACATTTAAGCGAAGGATCCTCGGGGGAAACTTTGAAAGTTAGACAGGAAACGGACAAGGGAGCGATAGAGAGCGAGATGCGAGAGTATACGCACGCACGCACGCACGCACCAAGACAGGCATACCCTTAAATAACACGAAACCAGACGCGCGAAATATGTTTATCGATTTATCGTTGTTGTGTATTGCACGCCACGTACGTGCACGAGCGCGTACATTTTCGTTAATGTACACGCTATTTCGGGTGTATAGGATTTATGTTGCCGGAGCTTTACTATTATTCTCCCTTTCTTTTTCTCCTTCTCTTTCCCTCTTCCTTATTTGCCAAGTAAAATACCAGTGAGAGCGGCGGAGAAAAGTGGGCTGTCACCGGTACTTTGGAAATCCCGGAAGAGAAAAATTCCAAAATCTCTCTCGCGCGTCGTGACCTCTCAGGATCTCGTCTTGATGGGATGAAATGAGGAATATTGTTTCCCGGTTGTTACCGCGGAATGAAGAGCACAGGTGCGCGGGACGTTGCTCTCTCTTCTCTATCTCGCGACATCACACCCCTTTCCGCGTATGATCGCGAGCAGCTCACTCGTTACGTACTCGGAAGATGTAGGAGAGCATCTGTTTGCCGGTGCAGGCATGGGATTTCCGTCTTACGGAAATAATATTTCTCTCTTAGGTACACGGTCTCGTTAAATGGCGGATATATTTTGGATCCTTTGAGAGAATTAACCGCTTGCTCTCGATCATCTGTCATTTGACGTGCCATTTTTTTCGATTAATAATCCACAAGGTATAGAATACATCCACCATAATCGATCCCCGAGCAAACATAATCGAAGAATGATTAACGCCGATTAAAGTCCCCGGTAGGAAATAAATTTAAGTTACGGAGAATCTATATATAAACATACATGTACATATATATATATATATATATATATATATATATATATATATGGACATATAGTTTCTTGTTTTTTATTTTTATCTAGATTTGCATTCAATTTTGGACCCTTCGACACAAAGCGATCACTCATCGCATATCGATGGCATGTGTATGTGCATGCATATATGCAAATGCATATCCACATACATGCGCAAACGTATCGGACGATGTATGGCCGAAGATACAATTCACGACTGATCGTTTCGCGCCGATTTACTCCCTCGCGATATCTCGTTCGAACAAACGAGCGTTTTCAACGAACAAAAAATTTAATTATTGCTGTATAGTTAGGCTGCGATAGAAGAGTTTGCTTACAGAATAAAAAGAGGCTTCTGTATCTCTTGTACTCTTTTCTCACACGAAAGAAACTATACGAATATACGCGCGCGCGCGTACATAAACACGTACATACATACATACACACATGCGCAACACATACAAACGAATCCGTATATCCCGCACGTACGTGACAGAATTATTAAATTCTATACATGTGTAATCCTCCGTTAAAATTAACATCGAAGACTCGCAATTGGAACGCCGGACGTTTAAAGAGGCTTCTGCATCTCTTGTACTTTTTTTTTCCACACGAAAGAAATTATACGAATATACGCGCGCGCGTACATACGCAAACACATACGTACATACATACACAATATGCACAACATATACACACGAATCCGTATACCCTGCACGTACGTGACAGAATTATTAAATTCTATCTCATGTGTGTAATCCTCTGTTAAAATTAACATCGAAGACTCGCGATTGAAACGCCGGACGTTTAAAGAGGCCCTTTAAGCGGACCCACAACGCGCGAATATCTAATATTATATAATACGTAATAGGAAACGTATCTTCCTGCAACCTCGTTTATTTGTCAGTAGATCTGCCGACGATTTCCAACGCTGGCTGGTATTCACACGGCCGATCGTTGTTCGTAGGATCTTTTACGCCTCTTCAATCGTCATCTTTTGCCGTCGTCGCCATCGTATCGCACGGTATACAACATTGAATGCCGCTCTAAATTGCGTCCCACGCGAATCTGCATCTGTTACTGCGAAGTGCATTAATGCACAATGGAATTTGTAACCATCCGTGGCGAGCCCCGTGTATATCTACGCAAGCGCGTTGCATATGCAACTTTGGATTGTCATGCCTTTGACGTGACCAAGAGATTAGGCACGAAGATAGTATCCTCCATCCGGAGCAGCCGGGATATATATTGCGCGTATCATCCCGTTTCTCTATTCTTTTGTGGAAGAAGAATGGTCAGTAAAAAAAATATGCGCAGATGGAGGAAGGAGCGATATGCTGCCTCTTGGTCTACGGAGCGACTCGCTTTGCAAGGTATATCATAAACCCGAGAGTACGCCATGCTTGGCGGATTGTGCTCCTGTGGCCAGCCGAAACGTACTTTTCGTTGATCTGCCGCCATGCACCGTGTAAGAACCATGTGAACCGTGTAAGAGTAGCCTGATCGATCTTGATCGTTCGATGTGCGTTTAACGGGAACGTTCCAGTGAACGAGACATTTTAAACACATCTCATCCCGATATCTCCATCGTAGTTTTATCATTAACAACGTGGAGGAAATCTTCTCTTGCGCGTATCTCGATGTCTTCTTGAATCTCTGACTAACTTATGTATTTTTTTTCGAGCAAAATTGTACATTGATTTGACAGACGCAAGAAGAATCCATCTTCTCGGAAGGTGACAGAGGTCTCGAAAGACTAAACGACATATCTTGTCCGAGTATGTCTTACAATATGCATTTTTCCAAAGCTTCGCGTTTGAAAAAAAATCAGCAGGACAATTCCCTTGGATCTGAAACGCGAGCTTCTCTGTCATGAATGTCTCGCGCATTTCTGACTCCATATTTTGCAGATTCTTTCGCGGCATCGTAGAATTCCACCCGCCGTCTTGCGATCAATATTTCCCTCAGGAATAATTCCAAGAAACAGATCGGCTATCGCGCGATGCGATCGAGGAAAAACCTTCTCGAGGTACAATCTATATCGACGTACCCGAGGAATCGAAAATGTGGTTATCGCTAGCGTCCCTCTTGGTCGACGCTATACTGCATCGCTCATTTAAACAGTATCCGGCGGAAGGCGCGGCGGAAGTCCTTGTTGAATACGGTGTATATGAACGGATTCAGCGCCGAATTCATGTAGCCGAGCCAGAAAGCGATCACGAAGGCTTGCGTGGGTATCTCAAACTTGGGGAAGAGGGGCTTGACGATGTAAAGGACAAAGAAGGGCAGCCAGCAAGCGATGAAGCTGCCCATTATGAAGCCCAGGATCAGGGTTGCGCGTTTCTCCTTCTTTCTCGCCAGTCTCCTCTTCTCTCTCTCCGGATCGCGCGGCTTCGCCGTCTTGGCGTCGCCGCCGCCTGACTCGTCCTTGCCGGCGTGTCGCGCCGCGTCGCCGTGCTCCTTCTTCAACTTACCTATGTGCTTGCGACCAAAGATCGGCTGGCACAGACGCAACTTCAGCGGCTTCACCACCGCGCATCTCGACACGACGCCGCTGTCCGACGATGAGGGATCGAACTCGGACACCATGTCGACGTCGATGCCGACGCTGGGCGCTCGGCATCGCGCCGGCACGTTTTGCCCGCCCGATTGCCCGTCCCCGTTCACCGACAAGGTCGCCTTCAGGCTGCTCTTTTGCGCCGGTACCGGTACGCTCACCTGCCGACAAAATTCGTTATCCTTTATATGGGGTGTTTCTTAATAAGGGCGAAAATTTTTCGAGAATTGTAGGAGATGATTCTTTGTCGAAAATTAAGAGGGGTTTTTCATATAAACATACACTCCTTCAGCCTTCCCTGGAGAACTTGAGTATTTAAAAAAAAAATAATAAAAATCTAATTTTTATCCCCATTTTTGAAGGAGTAACTCCAAAAATGGGAGTAAAAATTAGGGGGTAAAAATATAGCAACCCCTATTCAATTTTTTATTAAAACTTTGTAATGTTTATATGAAAAACCTCCTGTATATGCATCTTAGAAACAAGCATCCCTCTTTTTTAAGTATTTAATTTTCTTTCTCTTTTTCTTCTTACAGCCTTGAAATGTGAATTGTAAAATTTTTAATTTTTTATCGATAAATAAATATTTTGATTGGATTTTGAAAGGAGAAAATTATATCTACTTGAGATAAAAACTTGTTAAAGGTTAATATCATATTTTAAATTTGGATAGACATTTATGGAATAACCATGCTGTACACGTTTTATGCATGTACACGATATAACAATTGCTATATCAGCACTTTAGTGCTGTGTAAGCATGTTACATTACCAGGGCAAGTTCTTTGTGACTTTCTAGATACAGTATATTATTATAAAAAACTTACAGTTGTGTTGGTTTCGAGATAAGGCTTTAAATGTGTGCGTAGTGAATTTGTGAAGCATGTTAAAAACACTGAAATTTCCTATGAGAAAAGCCTTTAGTCATCACATACTTTTAAATTTTTATATGAAATTCTCACAGAATAAATTAATCTGACATGAAGTAACTTTATAAAAGATTATTAAAAACTTAAAACACTCTGCACTATAATATCATAATCTTATATAATATAATATATTATATTATAATCTTATATAGATTAAAAGAAATCAAGGACACATAATGTATTTATTCGTATATTGAAGTTAATAGTCAACTTATTTCTTCAGAAAGTTTCAGAAATTCGATAGAACTCTACACGCGTTAGGCCTGCCTATGCTTTTGTCTGCGATATATGATTTCCATGCGAAGGTAGAATTATCACGAGACTCTTTGACATGCAATTGTAATATAGAATTCGAGGTAACAAAAGCGAGTGTGTTCTTGGCGCTCAAGTTTGAATGAGACCTCGTACTGTAATTGCGCGATAGTCAGAATGGGAAACTCATCCTCGCGCAATTATCTCCCCCTTCTAATGTAAAACTGTATTTTATGTACGTAACTATAAATGTGACCTTGCTTGCGAGCATACAAATTTCCTTCAGTCTTGCAATGTGTTTTAATGCTCGATGCAAAGCGATTTATTCATTTATATATAATCTATTGACATAAAAATTTGCTGAATCGAATATTGAAAGTTTTGTTATTAAGCGAAGAAAAAGGTTCCGCATTTTTCAAAAACAGTGGATATTCATTTACAAATTACCTCGTATTAATATTAATATTATTGTAATATATAATAGAACGCACGACAAGCGTGTTAGCGCATTAATAGCTCCGATATGTAATTATAGATATAGACGTATTGTCATCGGAGCGCATGTATATATCGGGAATATTGACTGACGCATCACGATAGAGAATATTTCCTCGTCGAAGAGGCAGAACCCGCGTATCAATCTTATGATATTTGACATAAAACAATATGATTGTTGTCGGCAGAATGTCCTCTCTCGGACTTTAATTTATCAAGACATATACAGTTTATGAGAAGCGATGAAAGACAGTAATCTAACGCGTTATGGCGAAAGAAGCTTATGTATGATCGATTGATCGCATTTCCTGATCCGCGATACTGATAACGGTGCTGTATTGTGTCCCCCTTTCATTGGGATCTTCGTCTCTTTCGATTTCACGGACTATATTCCAATACGAAATGTTTGATTCCGAAGATTTACTACTTCTACTTTAACGTGCTTCCCTTACGAGATATCGACAATGTGAGATATACTTTGATAGAATAATGGTGAATGATATCTGTACAGAAAATGTGACAGAAGTAACCTGGATTTTGCGTGATTTTTCCATACAATTTTTATCGTGGATAATAGTCAATGTTAACTATAATCGCAATATTATAAAAAAATGAACGTATTTAATCTAATGTACATCAAACTGATGATAACAAATGGAAGTTAAAAATAGCTAGATTAGAACAATTGCAAATTGTAATTGAAAAACAGAAACTTTTCATAATGGAAAACATTACTGTAGTAATTTAAGTTATCCAAATTTAAATTAGAAACCATCGCACGCTGTGTGTGTGTGATGGTCTTAAACTAGAAGCGAAACTAAGCGTAACGATACGAAAAGAAAAATGCTATTTATTGTGCATATAATATTTCTTCAATTATGCAGTAATTTTATTTTTTTATTTCTTGAACCCACTATCAAGCCTCAAATTTCGATCCTCGCAGAGAGTGTTGTTCAAACAGTCAGAAAGCTTACCTTCAGCGTGTCCTTCTCCTCCATCGGGATGCCTCCACCGGGATCAGCCTCCGATGTGCTGACGTCACTGGCAAAGTCGCACGTGACAATCGGTATCTGGACCGGTTGGTTCTCGATTGTGGCGACATTCTCCATGACTGATCCCGGTGGTTTCTTGGTGTCGGTCGCCGGCGTGCTCTGAGTGAAGCTCGTCTGTCTGACGTCGGGCGATTCCGGCGGAACTACCGCGCGTGGACGTGGCTGTTTCCGGATGCCACGACGAGCGCGAGCCTTGGCAGCGAAGTATATACGTATGTAGACGAAGACCATAATGCAAGATGGAATGTAGAAGCTGCCCAGGGCAGAGTAAAGGACATATCCGATGTCCTCTGACAGCTGAAACAGAAATAAGCGCATTCTTAAGCTTCTTGATACCGCACTTCAATATTAATTTTAATATGTTAATATTGTTTTCCCCGGGTATATCCGGAAAAATGTTTCTTTTTCTCAAGCACAGTACTCTTTGGTGCATACGTAATATTTTCATCAAGAAAAAGAAAACGCATTTGAAGTTTTACGCGAACAGATCGGACAATAATTCCATTCGCTTGTTACTGTACATAGCTATATTTCAGGATTAACGGATGCATTCCATTACCACTTTACGATGTATTGCTACCGATCGGCATTTAACGAATTGCTGGTTATGTGGGTCAATTGATTTTCTGTTGTCATCCGCACGATATGCTCGATATCTATAAGTGGGTAGTGCAGTAGTTCTTCGGAATAAACTCCCGTTCTGGAAGACACTCTAACTTTGGCACTCTATTTCTGGAAAGATCTGATTTCTCTCGATGTCGAAAGGACGCACAACATTTTTATAGTGGCTCTCAAAAGGTACGATACCGGGGCTAACTGGGTTTACGCCGTCCTGTGTACGTGCAATGGACCGTGTTGCAATCTCGCTTTAAGAGCCGCCCGTACACGCCCGTCGGGCGTAAATATGAGTGCATGAATTTAATTTTACTTAATTCGCGATGCAACGTGCGGTCGCGCATAAAACCCAGCCTTAAACTGTATTCAAATTTACGCCGTCGCGTAACTCGCGTGCGAATCGTTTTATATTCGCGCGAACGCCCACATTTTCAGCTCGTGTCGCGTACGCTTTACTTCCGCTAATGTAATTACTATTAGTACGTCTTCCTCTCTCTAAGAAGTAAACTTGCCAGCGAGATACTTGGCGTAATATCTTGTTACGTCGAATTGCAAGGCTGCGATTAAATGCAAGAGAGTCATATATATTTAATATTAATTTTAATGTTATATTTAATGTTATATTTAACACACAATACAATGTGATGTGTGAAAAATCATAATATAAATATATAATCTAAGAAAACTTTATAATATATAAAAAGTGCACTCTTATGTATTATTAAATTAGTTTCTAAGATGACCTTCTAAGATGTGAGCATTAAACAAAGCTGAAAAAATTTTAAGTGCTTCCTCTAGAAAACATATAACAAAAAGTATAAAAAAATAAAAAAGTGTATAACCACACAGGTTTTCACTACAGAAAAAACAATCTGAGTACTTTTAACTGTAAATGGGTTAGAGAGTTGATTTTAATTTAGAATTTAACTATGTATATTGTTCTTTTTATTCTGTTCCTAAATACATTCAATGTCATACGATATTGATTATAGATACGGACATATCTTGCAACTGGTTAAGTTATTTGTATTGTTCTAGTTAATCTCGATTTGATGTTTTTTTTTTGTTCTTATGATTTTATTCAATTTATATATTTTCTTTATTTATGATATTTAGCATATATAATTTTAGAAAAATTATTGATTGATCTGTTTTGAGTATATTTATAAACTATTAACTATTATTATATTATTAATTAGCTTACTCTACGACATTGATTTTTATTAGCATTACGGTATTGAAAGTATTACAATCGTACTTTGTGTAAAATCCGTCTGCGTTAAAGTTTTAAATTAAAAAAGTTGAAAAACTGACTTAGTCTAACACTTGATGGATTCGTCTCCTTGTCGGCTATTAATTACTCAAAACCTTTCGCCAAAGGCAGAAATTAAACGACGATTTGAATTTAATTTCTTGGTAGACGTTTTAGTTCTACGTTTTCGCTGTTTTGCTTTCTATTATTCTTTATTGTCATGAATATATCTTGGCTGGAGAGTGCTGAAGAAATTTCTAAAGGTATAGCAGGTGTACGGCAATAAACGCAAATGCGCGAGATAACGAGCAATTTTTTCAGCAGTCAGGATTTAAATTTATAAAAGCTCGAAAGTCAATGTGCAACGCCAACCAGCTTATTTGTCGGTACAACGCTATTACGCAAACACAGATTTGTCTTTGTCTTCTCGCGTTGAGAAAGTTTATAAAATACTTTTAATCATCAGACCACCTTGCGAAGGAAAATGCGTTCATCTTTCGTTAGAAAACATTTTTTCTACGTAAAAACTTTAGCTTGCATAGATGTTCGCGATTGCTAACAAGAGAATTAGTTCAAGTCGATCATTAATTTTAATGAAATTTCTTTTCTGTTTTACATGCAAAACAATTAATCATTTAATTAATTTTCTAAAGTTACGAGCTTTCGCTCAGCAAAATCTTAAAATTTAAATGCTTGTAAAAAAGAGAAATAGAGAAAGAAAGGAAGAAATTTTTATTACAGTCTTCTGAATGGCAGATAGTAACCAACGATAAAGCCTGAACGAATTATTTTCCTGCTTTAAAAGAATTCTTTCCATTTGGACGCGGAATTGAAGAGCAAGTTGGAGAGCCACCGAGGCGGGTAATCCGATGTCATTTTCGTCGAATAAAGATTATTCGCGCTTCCATCTCGCCGTTTATGAGATCCGCGCATTTACATTTTGACAATCTATCAGAGTAAAAAAAAATTCCGTTATGATTTCGCAAGAATTTCAAACCAATAGAGTCTCCTTGTCGTACATGTCGCTAATATGAGCGCGAATATGGACGAGGTAACGAGCAATCCCGCGAGCGGCGAATGAAAATTCATGAAAATATGAATAGTAAGGGCGTGAGTGGGGACGGACTGTGTATAACCAGACCGGCGCAGTCTCGGAACTCGTTGGGAAAAAAAAGCGGAAATCCGTGGAACGTTCCCAAAGGAGATACCTGTCGCGCGCGACAACGCGTTGTTTCCAGGACGAAAGGGGAAGAAAGAAATGCACCGACACCACGATTGGATCAGAGCAACCGTGTCGAATGTCGGGGAAATGATCCAAGGAATTTCTCCTCCTAACGCGGAGAAAATACTGACGATTGCCTTGGACGAACGTCTAATAGACCTTTATATTTTTCTGCTGTACAAATAAATAATAAAAAGCACGTAAATTCTCGCACGTATCCATCTGAGATTCCATGATATAAATTCACATGTGTCATCCGCGCAACCTACGTTCGACGACATAAAATATTACCTCGGAGGGAGCTTTCCAATCTCACCCTTAACGACGATAATCCGAGTCGAGATGTCGAAAAGGAGGATTCGAAATTGAGAATGATTCGGCATATTCGTTGCTCAATATATAACTTTTGTTGCATACAAATGTATGCGTGCGTATGCGTGATAAATTGATTGGCTTCAATTGTGTGCGCTCTTATGGCAGAAGGAAAATAATACAACAGATGAGGGTGAAAATAACCTGTGCGAAAAATCGGCAAGAAAAAATGAGGGTTAGAAGCGGACAAGTGTTCAGCCTCTGAATAGAAGGATTGGAGGATCATTCTAATATATATTTCTTTCAACTTTTTTTTCTATAGGAGCTCTTACATGTCTTCTTTTTCGTTTAGATTTATTTATCTTTCTTCAAATTATATTCCACCTTACTTGATTACGTACAAAGCTTTTGACAAATATATAAATGAATAAAATTAAATAATATCGAAAAATTAGATTCAAATAGATTATAACATGATTTATGAACGCAATATGTTATAAATTATAAATTCTAATCTCGCTAATTATATATTTAATTATATAATTATGTACGAAAATGATATATATTTTAAGCTAAATCTATAAATAATAGTTAACCGATTATTGATAAATTTTCATTACTAATTTCAAAGTATTGTGCTAGCAAAAAAGAAGAATTCTAAATATTTGCTACGTAAATAAATAATTACAATTGAGATAAACATCAATCAAAATTTAGAAAATTTTGTGAAACAAACAATAGAATATACTGTGTACTGCATAACCCGAAAAATTGTTCTATTTTATTCTATTTTATTTTTTTATCTTAAAAATAAACAGGCGCGCAATTCACGCTCGATATTTGAAATATTCAACTAAAAAGAGGTGATTTATTGGGAGTCCATATATGTGCATATCGAACGTTTTGGAATGTTAAAGGTTAAAAGTGTGCAACTTCGCAAAGCGGAGTTACACAAACGCTCGCGCCCATCCGTTCTACTTCCTTTATGTTTGCCGGACGTTGTATAATTAGGATTGGATAGAAAATTAGGGCAAGTTGTTCACTGGAAGCTCCTCGTTTTCGTACTGACTGATGATAGTGTCGGAAGGACAAAGTGATATGCAAAGCGATTAGTGTCATATCTAAAGGAGAGGAAGATGAAATTGCTTGTACACTATGGTCGCTCATATTTGTTCGAGTTTGTCTTAGAAGGGATGAAAGAAAAGTACTTGTAAAATTCTCTCTTATGAGCTAATCCCGTATGAGATGTAATAATCTAACGAACAAAAACGAACAATATGAAACGAATTAATCAATCGAAGGAACTATAAAAATAGACAGTGAACCATACATTGGTCTTTTTATAGTGATATTCATTCGGCTATATAATCTCGTAAAAAATAATATATCCATAGTAATTTAAAACACACATATAAATATGAAAAATGGGAATTAATCAAATCAGATTAAATTTATGATATTTTTTCTTCAAATAGATAAGCAATCTGTTACTTTCTATAAACCGATATCGAAGATAAAATGAAATTTGAATTGAAATTCGCGTGGTTGGTAATTGTATAAATAATATTAATTAAATAAGTATTGATATATAATTAATATAATAGTAATTAAATATATTTAAATATATTTAAATATATTAATATAATATTAATTAAATAAGGATTGATATATAATTATATAAATAATATTAATATAATAATTGTACAGAAATTATATCTTATTTTGCTTTATATTATTACAAAATACACAAACTCGAGAACATTATCGTTGGAGTTACCATTGCCATCGTTATCATTATTTTAAAGCATGATTTTATGCGGTGAAATTATAGCAATCCAGACACGCTTACCATAGAATCTGGCACGTGCGGTCGACGATGCCGGAAAGTACCAAATT